CACACTCCATCTGTCATTTATTCACTCATCAAACCTTTATTTGCCAGGCTCTGCCTGTGCTGAGTTCTGAGACCAGAAGTGGGCTAATACTGATTGGTTAACTGCTATGCTTTAGACTAGACCCAGCATTTAGTCAGACCAGCCAAAGGCCTATAGCTTAGCAGTGTCGGGGGAGGGGATGGAGTACGGCTATCCCCTCAACCCCAGAGAACATTTGTTAACATCTGGAGACACTTTTCACTGTCATAGCTGTGATCAGGGGATTGTCTGTAGCATCTGATTGACAATAAGTAGGAATGCTGGGAAGTCCATAGCCAGGCACAGAACAGCATGTGTTGGGGCTCAGAATGCTTGAGAGAGCTTATGCTGTGGTGGACGGAGCTAGGGAAGAGAGATCTCAAGCCCATTCTCCTGCCTGGGCCTCTGGAGTGCTGGGATTACAGGCATAAACCATTAGTTGTTGTTGTTTTGTTTAGTATGTCATAAGCAACAGAAAAAGACAAAACTTGCTTTGCTGTCTAGATCCTTCCAGAAGCCAATGCCAGGGTGAGAGTAAATATTCAAGGACTTTTAAAGGGAAAGTCTGAATGGGAGAGCAAGTAAGGAGGGAGCTGGGAAGGCTGAAGGCTGCCGTGGAAGTCCCCAGGTGGGGAGAACAGGGCAGAGTGGTGAGAGAAGTCTCTACTTACCTGCCACCCGAGGTGGGTGTGTCCACCTGCCATGTGGAGGAGTTTGTGAACTAAAGTTGGCTGTCAAAGGTATCTGTGTCTCCAGGTATCTATGGGTCTGCCTCAGTATCCCTCTTGTAATAGGCAAGTGTGGCCTTGGTCAATTATGGTCCTGATCTTGGAGATCTGTCTATAAGTCCAGACTCTTGTCCCCACAGCCTGAGGAGGGCAGCCAGAGAGATCTTTCTAAAGCCATCATGCTATGCCATCCTCTGCCCACCAGTAGGCTTTATGGGCTCTGTTGTCTGAAGATTTCCCCATCTCCTAGTAGTACCACCAAGGGGACCAAGCATTCAACACCTAGCCTTTAGGGAATTGCAACATCTGAACTGGGTCCCTTTCAGGAGACTGGGACAAACAATTGTCACTGTTCTCCTGGGCTTGACCTTTCTCCCAGTACAAGTCTGCTTGCGTGGTCTCAGAATGCACTCAGTAACCCCTTTGGCCTGTGTGAGGATGATAGCAGAAGTGTGGTGCCCAGGGTCCAGGAGGGCCAAGGACCAAAGCCCCTCCGTTTTTCAATCCTGTCTACCCAGCTCAGGATTCCATGCTTTATTTTGCCACCCCACATTGGACTGGGGCTCATAGAATGCACAGCCTGAGATATAACCAGAGCCCAAGCCCTGGCCTGAACTCCAGTGGTACACACAAGCTGAGAACCGTCAAGGTCAGTGCTAGGCGGGGTCCTAGGAGGCAGCACACCACACAGACAGACCCTTGGCAGAGCTGTGAGACCTGGGGACACAAAGGACACCAACAACCTGACTCATCTGATCCCTTCTCTAGCAACAGGGGTTCCAGAGGCCAAGGTGACCAGGAGCAGAGTCAGGTTGAACTTGTGTCCCTCAGATGTGTCTAGGCTGCCAAGGATCGACATAACCATGTCCTTGCTCTGGTTCTCGCTCCCATTCTGTTCTTTCTTCCATTCCCAGCTCCAGCTGAACACTGTGGCAGCCCCATGCCCGGTGGTTTAATAACCTGTAGGTCATGTCCAGTTTTTATGGCCACCAATAATTTGAGATTTTAGCCAGGTAGTAGTGGTGGCGCACACCTTTAGTCCCAGCACTCAGGAGGCAGAGGCAGGCAAATCTCTGAGTTCGAGACCAGCCTGGCAGCCTGGTCTACAGAGCTAGTTCCAGGACAGCCAGAGTTTCACAGAGAAATCCTGTCTCAAAAAAAAAAAAAAAATTGAGACAAAAAAAATGGTAAATTATAGAATTATAATTTTAATGTTTTTGTTTTGAGTGCTGGGCATTCAAACCCAAAACCTCTTGTATGCAAACACTCAACCACTGGCCTGTACTTTTAGCCTCTTAAAACACTGTGTTTTGTTGAGACAGGGTCTTACTCTGTTGCCCTGGCTGGCCTAGAACTCACAGACCTGTGCCTGCCTCTGCCTCCTAAGTGCTGGGATTAAAGGTTCCTCAATTTTTTTTCTTCTTCAATGTTAAGTTTTTGGCTTTTACATGAGAGTGCGAGTATATTTATGTGTGTGGCATAGTAATGCGTGGCAGACCAGAGTCAATCACTTTGTTGTAGGGACAGAGTCCCTTACCAAGACAGGGGGCTGGCTGGTACCTGGCTGGCCAGCAAGCCCCAGAGATTCACCTGCCTCTGCACCACCACCCCACCCAAGGCTGGTGCTATTTGCCACACCTCGCTTTTTAATGTAGGTGCTGGGAATTGAACTTGGGTCCTCTTGGTCATCTGGGAACTGAACTTGGGTCCTCTTGGTCACCTGGGAATTGAACTTGGGTCCTCATGGTCACCTGAGAAGCACCTTACTAACTGACCTATCTCTCCAGCCCCTACAATTTATTTTCTAAAAATGTATTTTCTCATTTTTTATAATTTTGGCTTTTTGAAACAGGATCTTGCTACATAGCCCAGGTTAGGCTCAAGCCAGTGACACTCCTGCCTCAGCCTCCTGAGTATTGGTACTGCAGGCTTGTTCTTATCACTAGTCTATTATGAACATTTCTGTTATGAACACAGGTGTTCAAATAGCTCTTAAAATATCTTTTGTATATATTCCCAGAAGTGAAGCTTCTGGATCATGTGGTAATTCTATCCTAAAACTTTTATTTTATTTCTTTTTAGATTTATATATTTTATTTTATGTTTATGAGTGTTTTGTCTGAATATATGTCTGTGCACAACATGTGTGCCTCATGCCCTTGGAGGTCACGTGTGTGCAGTTTCCACAGAGACCATCAGAAATTACCAACCAGGCTAGGCCCCAGCTTGCAGTGACCCTCCTGCCTTTGTGTCCTGAGCACTGGGGTTACAGCACATGAGGACATGCGTGGTCTCTTTTTTTGTTCTGTAGCTGGGCATTGTTGCCCTTGATATAAAGTCTAGAGCTGAATCAGCAAGATGGCTCAGCAAGGCACCAGGGCCAACCTTGCATCCTTACACTTGATCTCCTCTATCCCATAGAGTGGAAGAAAGCGACCGACTTCCGAGAGTTGTCCTCTAAGCTGGGCATGGCGGCACACACCTTTAGTCCCAGCACTGGAGACACAGAGGCAGGTGGATCTCCAGGAGTTCCAGACCAGGTCTACATAGTCAGTTCCTAACCAGGCAGGGCTACACTCTTTGGATTTGTTGATCTGAAAATACCAAATCCCACACCCCCGTTATTTTTTGACACAGAATCTCATTCACTCAGACTGCTCTTGAACTCCCTGCGTAGTTGAGGCTGGTCTTAAATTCCTGATCCTCCTGCCTTCACCTCCCCAGTGCTAAGATTATCAGCATGCAACACCATGCCCACTTTGTGTGTTGCTGGGGTTAAATCCAGGGCTTTGTGAACTCGAGGTAAGTTCTGAGCCAGGTCTCCAGCACACACACACACACACACACACACACACACACACACACACACACTTTTTCCACAGGAATGTTTGCAAACCCCTCCTCCCATCCCCACCACTGCAAAGGAAGTCCTGAATTTTATACGAGTCACTATACGTACATTCTTGTTTATACTCTATGCAATTGGATAAGTGCTCACTCACCTAGATGGGTTCAAAAGAGTCTCCAAATGTGCTCTCATGCTCAAGAGACCTAAAGGAGTGCCAGGGATATAGCTCAGCTGGTAGCATGCTTGCCTAACAGGCACAGGCACGGGGTTCAGTTCCTAGCCACACATTACACTAGGTACAGTGGCAGACACCTAAGATCCCAGCATTCAGGAGGTGGAGGCGAGAGGAGCAGAGATTCAACATTAGCCTTGGCCTCTGTCTTGGGGTTTCTGTTGCTGTGAAGAGACACAAGGACCGCAGCAACTCTTATAAAGGAAAAGCATTTCATTGGGGTGGCTTATATTTTCAGAGGTTTAGTTCATTATCATCCTGGTATGACATGGTGGCATATAGGCAGACATGGTGCTGGAGAAGGAGCTGAGAGTCCTACATCTTGACTCGCAGGCAACAGGAAGTGGTCTGACACACTGGGCATATCTTGAGCAT